AGAGAGAGGCAAGGAGCCCTCCTGGTCAAGAGTGAACATCAGGATGCAGGCCTAAGCCAGAGAAAAGCGGTGCCTCCAGAGGAGCCATTTCCCAGTCGTGAGGAGCAATCAAATGGACCATTAGTGGTCAGAGAAATGAAAGGGGAGAGCGCTGCTGCCCTTGGCTGTTGCCCGGATGCAACTGGGTTATTGCCTGAGGGCACCAGGGTGTTGCTAGGGTTTGGATAGACATGTCCCCCAAAAGCCCCTGTGTTCGTGCGGGAGATGAAAGGATCAGATCATGAGAGCCGTGACCTAATGAGAGGGTTGGTCCATTTGGTGGATTAATCACTGAATGGATCACTGGGTGGTAACTGTAGGCAGGGGGGCCTAGCTGGAGGAAGTGGGTCACTTCCCTGCCTTTGGGGATTATACATTCCGCCCCTGGCTCCTCCCCCTCTGTCTCTGCTTCCTGGTTGCCATGATCTGATCATCCCTTCTTCCCCCACCCCTTTCTGCCATGTTGGGCCCCTCCTTGGGGCCCAGAATAATGAAGTCAGCCCGGACCTCTGACACTGAGCTCGAAACAAGCTCTTCTGCTCTAAGGTGTTCTGTTCAGGTATTTTGGTCTCAGCAATGAAAACCTGACTGACACAGATGTGGCCTGAGAACCTGCAGAGAGACCTTAGCCTCTCTTCACAAGGCCTAAGGGCAGCCCAGTCTGGTGGGCAGACTGTCCATTGGCCCAGGGACCTTGGGCAAGAACATGGCCTCTGAATGCTGCCTCCTTGCACTTAAGGCAATAGGAGAGGAGCCAAGTCAGGTGCCCACATGGTGCCTGACAGCGAGGGGTTTCCCACAGAGGGAGACAGCAGCAGGGTCTGGCCACACCGAGTGCAGCCAAGTGAGCAAGCACACCTCTGTCTTACACCATGCCGAGGTCCCCGTCACTCTTGCCAGAAGCATACAGGGGGCCTCCTGGCAGGAGAGCCCGTGGAACCCCCTGGGGGATGCGAACCCCTATCTTAACCCTCACTCTGCTGCTCAGCCCCACTGTACGAGTCCCCACCTGCTTCCATCTCCTTGGGCTACACTGGAATGTTCTAGGCGAGGTGAGGCTGAGGCCCTCCCCTAGAAGGAAGCAGCAGGAGCAGGAGTCTTGCTGAATGCATCCTGGGCAGGTGATCTCCTGTCATGTCTGGCTGCCCCTCAGGGCAGGGAGACCCCCATCTTGGACAATGGCAGGATTATTTGCCACTCCACACAGAGGACCCAGGCAGGCCCTAGGAGTTTGGAGAAGCAGGTTCTGCAGGAGCCTACCTGCAAAGTAGGGGTTGGGGCACTGGGGGCCCAGGCCAGGGGCTACCACTGGGCTCTCGAGGCAGTGGGAGCAGCCCTCGCATCCTGCTGCACACGGGTCCTAGCCGTACCCATGTGAGATGGCTTTGGGTCCCCTGGGAATCAAATGCACTTAGGATAGTGCTCAATGTGTCACCAACACTGGGGAAACATCAGCTGTCAAGACGGTGGCCGTGTGGGTTCTCCTCCTGATACAAAGCCCAGCCCAAGCTGAGCATCTGCCTATTCTTGCGCCAGTTCCCTTGTCCTCTAAGATGGATGGAGAGGGCTGGAGGAAACCCTGTGCAGACTGGGACGCGTCCTCTGCAGGGTCTGGCTCCTGCTCCTTCTCCTCCCCCTCCTTCTGCGTCTTCCTCCTCCACTTTCCCTCGAGCAGCTTCCTGAACTCTCTTCTTCTTAGACCTGTGGCCCACTCCTCCACCTCTGAGTAGAGGACCACCCTCGGGCTCACACTGCCCTGGGGATGTGTGTCCCCTTGGCTGGCATCCCACTGGCCACGAGCTCCCAGCTGGTCTTAGGTCTGGGTGACTCTTGGAAGTCAGGTTGCTTTTCTTGGCTCTGGTGGGAAGTCAGCCCAAAGAGCCCTCTGGGCCTGGACGCTGCCCTCTGGGCCTGGATGCTGCCCACTGGAGGTGCCCTACTACCGCACAGAGCTTGTCTCAGACATGTGTTTCCAGGGCAAGCCCACCTGCCCCCTGCACACGTGCCACGTGGCCTGTGGCTCGGGCGTAGCCTGGGGCTGGCAGGCACCTTGTTCATGTCAGTGCACCGGCCATCCTGCTTCCAAGAGACGGATGGCAAAGCCCAGGCTGGAGAGCAGTCTGGACTGGCCTTGTGGGGACTTGCATGCCCCACCTAAGAGAAGGGCCAAACTTAGAGGGAGGTCTAGGTTGACGTTGAAGGACCAGCAGCCATGTCACATTCCTGGTGGAAAGACTAGCCTGGAAGGTGTCGGGTGTCCACACACCCAAATGCCAGGCAAGACCAGTGTGATCCCAAAGGAAGGAACAAAGGGGTTCCAGCATTCACCTGGAGTGGTACAGGACAAGGCAGTCAGGAAATATATAAGAGGCAAGAGGATTGACTCAGATCCTCCGAGAACATGGTTCAGAGTGACGGGAGCATGGCCCCATTTCCTGTCGCAACTCACTGGGTGGCAGAGGCAGTACTGCCAGTGTGACGGGTGGGCAGAAGGGCCTGGTGGAGCTCAGTCCAGGGGCAGAAATGCATATCTTCTGCCAGAGCGTTTCAGAATCAAGGCTGGGTTGTGGCTCAGGGGTAGAGCTCACCTAGCATGTGTGAGGCACTGGGTTCGATCCTCAGCACATAAAATAAAATGTCATAAAAATAAAATAAAGGTATTATGTCCAACTACAACTAAAAAATAAATGTTTAAAAAACAGTCTGATCACATGTCAGATCTTTCAAAGGAAAACTTACTAAGCTTTGAAGTGACCCTAAAAAAGTCCTCAATCATCAATGTTTGATTTAAAATACCTTGGATTCTAGAAAGCTCAAAATCAGGCATGCAATGATACCCTCCTGTAATCTCAGCTCCTCGGGAAGCTGAGGCCACAGGATGCCAAGTTTAAAAAGGACCGGGAATAAAACTCAGTAGTACAGAGCTTGCCTGGCAGGCGTGAGGCCCTGGGTTCCATCCCCGGGGCTGCGGGACATCAGAGGCTAGAAAGTTATGCTACTGAGTGAAGGGGAGTCTTACAGAAGGCTCTCATAGGAGGCCTGGGAAAGCAAACCTCGATGGTTGTTAAAGAAACTTAGATTTCAACAGGAGCAGGTGTTGCATTGGTGACATTAGTACAAAGAAGAGCCACACTGAAAGGAGCAGGCCACCACAGAGTCTGGCTGGGAGGCGAGCCTTCCCACAGAGCCACGCGTATTTGGAGAACCCTCGAAAGAGTCTGACCTTTCACCCAGTAATGGCCACTTTGGAGAAATTTGGCCCAAAGGGAGAATCTTCAAATGGCCATCAAGGGCCACTGTGGGAGCCCTGGGGGACACGGGGCTCCCTGCCCTTTGCCCTTCACCTGGAACAGTTCAGCTGTGTCTGTTTATACACAAAACTATGTGTTTTCTCAGTGAGATTTCATTTTGCCAAATTTTCCCAGAACTATTAAAAAGACTTGAAATCCACTGATCTAAAAGAAGACAGAGCGCGTTCTGGGCAGGTGTTCGTGGCCATGAGAGGTCTAACAGCGAAGAGGCTGCTCTGACCTCAGCTCCCTCCCCACAGCGTAGCCCTTGGGTGGAAGTGTACGAATGCACTGCTCTGGACAGGCCGAGGGGGGACGGTGTGACCAGATGTTCTGGGGCCCATACAAACACACCCTAACTGGAATTGTGTAGGGCCACAGCTGTGCAGGGCCCAGATGGGGCAAGCTGGGGACGTGGAACCCAAGGGCTTGGTTAGGGCAAGAGGCTGTGAATAGCTTTAAGAAGTGTGTCATCATCACCTGACAGCAGTGGCCCCAATGACATTTCTTTAGGTCAAAGCCCAAAAGGTGAAGATAGCCTCCCATCAGGCTGGTGGGTGCTGGGACGTGGCCCGTAGGCACCCTGAGGCGGCACAGAGAGTGCCTTTGCAGTTGGTGCGTTCCTGGTTGTAGTTTGCAGATGAACCACAGGAAGCTGCCTCTTTGGTCAAAGATGGCTAAACTCCAGCAGCTCCACGGGGTCCAAGCCACTGCTTTGACTATTGCCCTGAGACAGGGATTCCTTGAGAAGTTACTGTGTTCACAGCCGACTGGAGTGACATTCCCACCTCCGTGAACTACTGAAAACGGAAGGAACAAATAGGTGCCCAGAGCTGCCTGACCTGTCTGACTGACTGACTGTGTGTCTCTCTGCCTCCGGCAGGCGCTGATCCTTCACCAGCTGGGCCGCTACAGCCTGGCAGAGAAGATCCTCCGGGACGCGGTGCAGGTGAACTCGACAGCCCACGAGGTGTGGAACGGGCTGGGCGAGGTCCTCCAAGCTCAGGGCAACGATGCTGCGGCCACCGAGTGCTTCCTGACGGCCCTGGAGCTGGAGGCCAGCAGCCCGGCCGTGCCCTTCACCATCATCCCCCGCGTGCTCTGAGCAGGCCCTGCCTCACTGAGCTGCCTCGCACGCCAAGGACGCTCTGCCTGGGCCCGGGGAGCACCCTGTGGCCCGGGGGTAGCTCTGCCGCTCCGAGGCCCCGGAGGATGTTCCACTGACTACAGCGAGCTCACCAACTACCCCATCACCGCTCGCTCCTTGCGCGTTCCTCTGCTGTTGTGCCAGCTTGGTGACAGTCTCTGAACCTTCTGGCGGGGTTCGCAGGGATTATGTGCCATATCTGGTTAGCTGACATCTGAGTTTTAAGTGAAATGATTATGGAGTTAATCAGCAAATGTAGAAGAGTATATTCAAAGGTGAAACTCAGTGGCAGAACAGATTATTTTTATCAGAGCCGTAAAGAAAACAACTAACTGTCTGTCCTCTGCTCGGCCACCGCAGCCCAGAAACCAAATGTGAATCCTCTGTTCCCACCTCAGCACCCATCCACGCCAGGACACCAGCTGGCGGTTTCTCGGTTTATTGTCAATAATTGTACCCTGTGAAGAATTACTGTTCTCCTCACTTAGAACAAAGCCTGAGTCCAAGAATATTTATATTTTACCAATATATGCCTGTTACAAGAGAAGGAAATATGAGTTATTTAAGTTTAACTTTTTTATGTGAATTCAGAGTTTATTTATCGATGGAAATATGTACAAAGAAGCTTCAAATGGAATATTTACCGACATTCCTTATACATGGCAGACACTTGGCTAAATGGGAAGATGATGTTAATAAAAAAAAAATGATTTTTAAATGGACCCATGGCTCATGTCTTTCATAAAAGCTGTTAGACTGGAGGTCGGGTTGTGACTTAGTTCCTGGGGTGGAGAGTCGTCTGTGCCTGAGGCCTGCTTTGGGCACGTCCCCCTCCCCCGGGCATCAGGAGGCAGGCAGCAGGGTAGGCTGCTACCTGGGGATGGTCCTGAGACAGCAGCCTCTGAGACACACCCCGAGTCCGGCCTGGGCCTGGTTCTGTTGCTCCCTGCCAGAGGCCAGCCAAGCCTCTCTCCTCACTTGTAGTCAGAGGATCCTCTTAGTACAGTCTCCTGTGTCCTCAGTATGCAGACCTCCTCTTGGAACAGCTGCTTTTGGTTTGGAATTCACCCTTCCCAACTCGCCCCATGTTGCCTGGAAGCGGGTTGAGACTGGAGCCCGTGACCCAGGCTTGGCCAGGCAGCATCCTGCAGTGGATTGGGCGCTACAAGGAAAGCTCTCGCTCTTCCCCCCTGGACTTCAACCTCAGAGGTCAGGCTGGGCCTGCAGCAGCCTTCCTGCCTCCTGCAGGCCAGGCCTTTGCCTTGGCATCTGTGCCCATCAGCCCGCCTGGCGCCCTTCCCTCCAATGCCCGACTCCCGCAGAAGAACCACCCGCAGGGCTCAGGGATGGACAGGGCCTGGCTTGGATAGCCTCCAGTTCCAGTGACTGCTGCAGGTTTGGGCAAGGTCAGTAAAAGACCCCCCCGGACTTTAGTTATGGGGGAAAGGCCTCTCTCTGCTAGATTTGGTGTTCTAAGAGATACCATCTGGGGGCTGCCGGGGGCCATTTGGCATGGGGGCAGGGTGCTGCCTGAGAATAGTGCCAACTCAGAAAAAGAGAAAATGAGATAGACCCTGGGCCCAGGGTCACCACTGCGGCCCTGGAGCCCAAGATCTTTCCAGGCACCTGGGCTCGCTCTTTCGCTCACCTGTAGAAGGTGTCTGAGAAATGCCGGGAAGTACTGTCCCCGAACTCCCCGTCCTCGACTCTCCCAAACCCGTGTCCTGCCTTAATCCACCCTGAGTCCCGCTTCTCAGGAAGTCCTCCGTTCTACCCACACCACATCTCAAAGCTCCATTCGCCACCCTCATGCCCACCAGCACCTCGGCCCAGCGTCTCCGCCCCTCGCTGGCCCACAGAGGGCCCTCCCTGTTCCTGCCCTCGCAGGGCTGGGCCGAGTCCCCTTCCCTGTCAGCCCCAGGCTCTTGCTGGGAGCCAGACTGGGTGTTCCAGAGGCCCTGTCTGCCTCTCACCCGGCTCCCTCCCATCCTGTCCTCGCCTGGTCCCCTGGCCTGCCAGGCCTCCCCAGCTAAGGCCACCGCTCATTCACGCAGCCATCCATGCACTGACGAGAAGCAGAAGCCCAGAGGACAAGAGGCCTCCCTGAGGAGTCACCCGGGAAAACGGGACTGAGACCCTGGACCTCGCAGTCCCCGGGGTGTTGGGATGGGAGACGGGCCTCTCTAGGAGCAGCGCTGACCTGACCCCAGCCAGCCAGTCCCCTTCCCAGGTCACGGTCCCCTCTGCAAAACTCACCCCCATGTTCACTCAGTCCCTCGTCCAACAGCCTTCTACTGCGCACACAGCGCTCTGGACACTGTGGGGACCGCGCTGCGGGACAGACCCCTCCCACATGGGGATAACATGCCGGGGAAAGACAAGCAAGGTGGGGGCACAGGGAGTGGCCCAGCTGCCACCCAGGTTAGGGGAGCCTCCATCTAGAGGTGGCATGTGGCCCCAGTGAGTCAGGTAGATCTGTGGGGGAGGGGTACCCCAGGAAGCAGGAACAGGAGGAGCAAAGGCCCAGGGGCAGGAGGGGACTGTGGGTAGTAAAGGCTGAAGAAGCGAGCAGAGGCCAGGGGCTCCATGGGCCAGACCCACAGGGCTGCAAGGGCCACGTTCAAGGTGTGCGTCTCCTCTGGCTGCTGTAAGAAATCTCCACCAACTTACTGGCTTGAAACCACACAGATTCAGAAGTCTAAAATCAAGGTCTGTTCGTGTTGCGCTTTCTGCAGGTTCCAGGAGAGAATCCTTTTCCTCACTAGCTTCTGGAAGCTTCCTCCTCCTTTGGCTCCTGGCCCGCACCTCCTCCTGCTTCCGTCAGTGCGCACCTTCTACCTCTGACCCCAGGACAGCCTAGGGTCACTGCCACCAGGACCGCCTTCGCTTCCCAGCTGCAAGGCCTCTTTGGCCTCATGAGGTGGAGGCGACATTTCCACAGGATGAAGTGGGGAGGGGACTTATCCCACTGACCACGGGGCAGAAGCCAGGAGACCTTCAGAGGCGCCTGCAGTCACCCAGGAAGTGGGCGGGAGGGGTTGGGTTTCTGATGCTCTGAAGACAGAGCAAAAGGATTTCTCCCATGCAGAACCTGAGGCATGAAGGAGTTGGGGGTGGTGAGGACTTTGTCCTGATCTCTGGCAAATGGAGCTGTCACCCTTCTGGTTAGGGAGGGAGGAGGAGCCGGGAGTCTGTCCTCGGGCCCCCGAGGGAGCGGGCAGCTGGCCAGGTGGGCTGGCGCAGGAGTCGGAGGTGAGGTGTGGCTACCGAGCATCAGCTACAGGGAGCTGGCAGCCATGGGCCTGATGGGACCAAGAGGTCAGAGCTGAGGGCCGGGCAGGGGGAGACGGCCAAGAGGAGCAAGGTCAGCTCTGCGGGAGCCTAAGGCTGGGGGCAGAGCCTCAGAAGCCAAGCGCAGGCCAAATTTCAAGGAGAAGGTGGACGGCTCTTTTTCAGTGCCCACAGGTCCAGCAAGGCAGGTCTGTGACTGACCTCGGGCCTGGTGACATGAGCTCAGCAGAGATCTTGACTAGAACTGTACTGTGGACCTAACTGTTCCCCCTCCCAACTCATATGACGAAGCCCTCGCCTCCAGTGTGACCATATTTGGAGACGGGGCCATGAAAGAGTAATCAAGGTCCAACAAGCTCATAAAAGTGGGGTCCTTATCTAATAGGGCCAGTGTCCTTAAAAGATGAGCCACCAAAGAGCCAGCCAGCCAGCGAGCCCAGCCATGTGAGGACAGTGGGAGGTGGCCGTCTGCAGGCCAGGAAGAGAGCCCTCACCAGCAACCACATCGTCAGAACCTTGACCTTGGACTCCAGTCAGTCCCCAAAACTGTAAGAAATAAATTTCTCTTGTTGGCGCCACCCCATGTGTGGGTCTCGATCTCGTTTCTGTTTTTTGGTGGCAGCCGGAGCTGACAAGCGGTTTGGACAGCGGTGGCCTGGAGCACGGTGGCAGAGGGCTCAAGAGGAGGCGGGGCGTGGAGCGGGGTGTCTGGAGAGCAGGCGGGAAGGGTGTTGGGGAGCGCGCCTGGTTGCAGAGGGGAAGGGGAAGGGGACAGCTGGGACAACTCTGCCGGAGGAGAGGAGGGGCTGCCTCAGGCGCGTCCTGTGGGTCCACAGAGTAGCCAGCGGAGGGCCACCCACCTGGGAGCTGGGAGTGGGGCTCCGCTTTCTTGGTGAGCTCGGAAGGCAGCCGAGGGCGAGGCTGGGAGGGCAAGTGGAATTTGAGGACAGGGTCCCTGAAGGAGGAGAGAGAGAAGGAGAAGAAGAGGCCCCTCTGCTCAGGAGCCACCGCAGGCCCCTCCTGCCCCCGGCCTCACTGTACCGTGGCTCCACTCGTCTGCAGAGTTCAGCCCGGGCAGCGGCCAGGGCTCGGCACCCGCTCCAGGCTGGAGAGGGGAGGCTCGGGCTGGGAGCCCCTGGCCTTCCTCCCGGCCCGAGGGAGGCTGTGTGTGTGTCCATGTCTGTGACCTCCTGGAACAGCCCAGATTCCTCAAGATGGTCACACATCAGCCTAGGTTGTCCCGTGCCATCTGCCCACAGGACACCCTGTCCTTGCCGAGCACCAGTCATGCTGTAGGCTGTAAACAGCTCCCTGGGCACCGCACCCGCGGTGGCCGCCCGGCGGCTGCTGGTGCCACTCCCTGCACCCCTCCCTCACTCCCTCCCGGCCTCTCTCTGGCTCCTCTCCCTGTCCCTCTTCCTACCTCAAAAGCACCCTCACTCTCCAGGCAAACCCTGAGACCTTGCCTAGGTCCTGACAGAGGAGGGACGGGTGGTGGACAGGCTGCAGTGGCCACCAGGACCCTCCACACACACCCCCACTTGCACAGCAGCTGGGCCTGGCCCCGGAGGTCACTCTTCAGAGCTGCCTCTGCGGCCATCAACCTTCCTCCTACCCTGGTCACTCATTTCCTGCTGCCCCCACCTGGGTCTCACTAGATGGATCAGGAAAAGGACGCCCTGGAAACACCTCACACAGAAATGGGCTCCCCCAGAAGGTCTTTGGGGATCAGACTGGGGTCCCCTCCCCAAGGACATGACCTGGGGGACCCACTCCAGCTCTGTGCCTCCCTGGGGGCCGTCCTGAGTCACTGTCCTTCTTGGGCCTCATGGTTAGATGGGGATGGTCACCTGCTTCTAGGCTGGGACATGAGCCAGCAGGTGGCCAGCAGGGTTGTGGAGTGCCAGGCAGGGGACAATAGGACCCCCACCCCCAAGACCACCACAGGGGGCTCAGGGCCAGGCCTGTCACTCACCTCCTGAGTGAGCTGGCTGCAGGGAGGTGGCCAGGAGTCCCAGCTGGCCTGCCGGCTGCCGCGGCCTCACGAACCCCCTCCCCCATCTTCTGCCATCTGGCCCCTGACCCCCTGAGGACACTAATGTTTCTGGTGACCACTGGGTTGTGGGTCGCACAGATCTGGCTGGAATCCCAGTTCTACCTGGTCACATGGCCTCCAACGCACAAGGGCCTCTCAGGGCCGCTGGACATTTTAACAGAGCCCGGTCCAGACCCAGCGTAGTCCTGGCCAGGGCTGTGCCATCAGGGATTTCCTTCTTCCCTCCTGCCTGGCACAGGCTGCTGTGAGAGCACCGGGCAGCGGGAGGGGGACTGCGCCTCCTGTCCCCTCCTCCTCCCACAGTGGTTTGGAGACCTGGACGGGAATCCACGCCCTGCTCCGTGTGGGGGAGAAGGTGGGGGCTGTGGGGGGCAGGGGTGTGCTGGGCCGAGGCTCCCCCCTCCCTGCCCACCACGCCAGCTCAACCGAGGCCTGCCTAGGGGCCCCCCGACCACGGCCTCCTCTCACCTTGTCCTCCACAGCCACAGAGGACTCCTTGGGCTCGGGGTCCAGCTGAGGCCTGAGCAGAGGCAAGAGGCCCACCCTGAGAGGCCCAGTGTGAGGGCCAGGGGCTCGGGCCGTGGGGCCAGCTGGCCTGCAGCTGGACCCGGGCCTGGCCTCCTGCGCTCTGAGGAATCTTAGGTAGTCACTGGTTCTCTCTGAGCCTCAGTTGGCTCATCTGCCAAGTGGGGAGAACAAGGTCTTGCAAAGCTTCCGACTGTACGTGAAGTGCGCCTGGGCACGTGCGTACTCTGCCAGGGTACCCGTCACACCACTGGACCGCCCACGCCTTCGTTATCGTCCCCAGGCCAGGCCAGGCCTGCTCTCCCACACGGCACCCCCAGGCCACGGCAGGACAAGGGAAGTCAAACCTGGGCCTCAGCCTCAGGCCCCAGCCCTGCTGCCCCAGAGCTGCATCTGGGAACAGGGGGCACCCAGAAGAACCCCCTGAGGTTCACCAGGCACAGCTGGCCCCGGGTGACAGTCCCAACCCAGCCTCCTCGTCCCACTACTGCACCTGCAGCAGACCCAGGGACCTGGCCTGGGGAGCTGGGGACTGGGGAGAGAGACAGAGAGCAAATAAACAATAGGACCCGACAGGGGGAACCTCGGGAGCCACTTCAGGGAGGAGTGGAGGCCAGTTTAAGCCAAGAGGGGGACACCTCTGTGAGGCGGTGACACTGAGTGATAAGAAGGTGCCCACCCTGAGGGAGTCCCGGGTTCTCTGTCTTTAAGGGGGACGGTGAGCACACGCCCGAGACTCAGGGTCCCCTGAGTCATCTGTTAGATCTCTAGGCCCAGCCCGTCCTGTAATGGGCCATCAGGAGCCGGCCCCGCGGGGAAGAAAGGCGCCCTGACCCAGATATAAAACAACTTTACGTCCCCTCCAGGGCTTTTCTTAAAATATGGCTGTCCAAATGTAACTAATTTAATTTTTTACAACTATTTTTATGTAACTGACAGTTTTTTAAAACAATAAAATCAAATGAGAAACGTGTAGACGTCTCAAGAACAACGAGACTTCTCAGTTCAGGGTCTTTAAACTCTCCAGCTGTCGACTTAATAGATGTTTTATAAAGTTCACTCCATTGTTTCTAAGACCCTGGGCCAGGCTGTTCCTTGGGTCTGGGCTGCTCCTGTCTGCACTGGCAGCGGGCAGAGCTCCAGGGAGGGATGAGGCTAACTGGCCGGTGTGTCCTTCAGATGTCCATGGTGACTGAAGTCCTGATCTCTCTCTGCAGGGCGGTCTACTAGAAGCTGGTGAAAACCTTGGAGGTGGCACCTGGTCAGAGGTCCTCAGGTCCCAGGTGGCATGGCCCTTCTCATAAGACTCCTTGGTAGTTCTCACAGGAGGCTAGTTATACAAGGTGGAGCTCCCTGCATGCAGCCTCTCTGCTTCCTGTTAGAGATGTGACCCGTTATCTTGACATTGCCATCCACCATTCACCATGAGGTCCCCACCACAACTGAGCGGATTCAGACACCATGCCCTTGCAGCTTCCAAAACTGAGCTAAATAATCCTCCTTTCTTACTAAGTTAGCTGCCTCGGGTGTTTTGTTATAGTAACACGTCACTAACTAATACAATTACCTATAGCTCTTTTTTTTTTTCCTAGCAAACAGCTTTTTCTTTTATGATTATAAAATACACACCGTTTTAACTTCCTCTTGCTGCTGTAATAAATTGCCAAGAAACACAGCACTCATTTATTATCTAGAAGTTCTGGAAGTCAGAAGTCTGAAATGGGTCTCAAGGGGCAAAACTCAAGGTGACTGCAGGGCTGTGTTCCTTCTGAGTTTTCAAGGGGAGAAGCTGTTCCTTGCCTTTCCAGCTTCTCCATGGCTTCTTTCCATCTCCAAAGCCAGCGATGACATCATCCAGCCAGAGTGACCTTAGTCACACCTCCTTCTCTGACCACCCTCCTGCTTCCCATCTCACTGTCAGAAACCTAAAACTGCAGGGGGCCTCCCTGGTGCATCTAGAATCATCTCCTCATCTCAAGATCCTTGATTGGGTTGGATGCAGTGGTGCCCCCTGTAATCCCAGCGGTCTGGGAGTCTGAGGCAGGGGGATGACACGGGTGGTCTGAGTGTCCTTCAGATGTCCATTGTGACAAGTCCTGATCTCTCTCCGCAGGGCGGTGCTATTGGAAGCTGGTGAAAACTTTGAGGACAGCCTCAGCAACTTAGAGAGGCCCTAAGCACCTTAGTGAGACCCTGTCTCAAAACAAAAAATAAAAAGAGCTGGGGATGTGGCTCGGTGGTAAGGGGACCCTGGTTTCAACCCTTGGTACCAAAAAAAAAAAAATATTCTTGATTTGGTCACCTCTTCAAAGTCCCTTTTGCCACGTAGGCTAACACATTCCCAGGTTCTAGAAGTAGGACGTGGACATCTTTGGAGACCTTTTTTCCACTGCCACGATTGCCACAGGCAATTTTTTTAATTGACTAATTAATTTATTTTAATTAGGTACATATGACAGCAGAATGCATTTTGATTCTTTGTACACAATTGCAGCACAACTTTTCATTTCTCCCGTTGTGCATGATGTAGCATCACACCACAAGTGCAGTCATACATGTACCCAGGACAATCATATCCATCTCATTCCACCATCTTCCCTGCCCCCCGCCCCCCGTTATGGATCACCATTCACTTTTCAGAGAGAACATTCGGCCTTTGGTATTTTGGGATTGGCTAAGTTCTCTTAGCATGATCTTCTCCAACTCCATCCATTTACCTGAAAATGCCATGATTTTATTCTCTTTTAATGCTGAGTAATATTCCATTGTGTATATATGCCACGGTTTCCTTGTCCATTCATCTACTGAAGGGCATCTAGGTTGGTTCCACAGTTTGGCTATTGTTAATTGAGCTCTGTAAACATCGATGTGGCTGTGTCCCTGTAGTATGCTGTTTGTAAGTCCTTTGGGTAGAGACTGAGGAGAGAGATAGCTGGGTCAAATGGTGGTTCCATTCCAAGTTTTCCAAGGAATCTCCATACTGCTTTCCATATTGGCTGCACCAATTTGCAGGCCCACCAGCAGCATATGAGAGTGCCTTTCCCCCACATCCTTGCTAATATGGATTGTCGTCTATATTCTTCATAGCTGCCACCCAACTGGCCCCAACTTCCTTAGCAAGACTCCTAAAGTAAGAAATAAAATCAAGAATTAATTAATAGGATGGACTCAAACTAAAAAGCTTCTTCTCAGAAAAAGAAACAATCCTATGACCAGTGTGATTCTGCAATCTGTACAATTAGAAAAATGAGAGATTATGCCCCAATGATTCAAATGTAAAAAAAAAAAAAGGGAAGATCTCACCCTTCCATAAATCCCACCTCTTGGGTCCCCTTCTTCCTCTGGGGAGAAGTCTTTTCTACTGTCCTTTAATAAAGCTTCTACTCTCCACTCTAAACTTGCCTCGGCGTGCTTCTCTGGTGTTATACTTCAGCATTGGGGAAGCAAGGACTCGTCACCGGTAAACAGCCCTAACAGTAGGTCTAAATGTATTTTGAGAAAGGTCCTAGCTAAGTTGCTGAGATTATTTTTGTTATGGTTTGATTTATCTAGACTTTGCTATTGCAATAAAGCATACAGTTTTTACATACATATGTATTCATATGGGGATTTTATTTATATCGTGATTCTTTGATGAT